TTTTTTTTTTAAAGCTGTATAGATTCTCTATTTTAATGAGAATGATCATGAACAAAGACAATGGGAATCATGAACTAAGCTCATAACACATCCTTTACGCAATACAATAATGGAAATGTGGAGGACAAAATGTAAACACACCTTAAAAATAATCTTAAATTAATGCACTAATCCAAGATATAACTTCCCGTTTCTTTGTTTTTGCAGAGATCTATGATCAGAAGGTTTATGACTGATTGATCAAACGCATTTTTAGAGCTCCATCTGAACTCACCTTCTGTTTGGCGGCGTGTTCGGCCACCATGTCGCTGAAGTCCTCTTTCTCCACCTGCTGCTCTCTGACGTGCTCCTCGTACTTCTGCGTCATGGCCATGGGGTCGAGCTCCAGCTCCTCCGGCGCCAGAGCCACCTCCACCCCCTGAGAGTCTCCACCCAGCACCGAGACTCCGCCCACCTTCCGGCTCGTCACCGTCTGCATGCACCACACGAGAGAGGACCACACAATCAGAGGGGAAGCAGCAAGCAAACATGACACACACACAAACATCTGTCCAAACTCTCAATGGGTTCTCATGCAACGACTGAACAAGCACATCTGCAGTGATAAAAACGGTGTAGAGTTGACGTTTCCACCGCCCAGCTGGTGCTCGTTTATCTCTCGCTGTCATTTTAAATGCAAACGAGTGCCATATGGATGGAGTGATTTGCATGTGATGGCTGGGAGAGATCTAATGGAGATGTGAAGTCAGCGCTCCTGCAGAGATATAGACACTGAAATCAACCAGACAGAGAGAACTCTGGGATACGAGGCGGATGCTGTCTGGCTGCGAGGTGACATGATTACTATAAAACACACAAACCAATATGCAACTGTTTATTAATGTGTCTGGTTTTGTTTTTGAAAATTATAAATGGGAAGACGATGCATAGCAGGACTGGATAAGGAAAGATTTCATGATTCGATTAAAGTTAAAATTTGATATAGATTCGTTTAGATGTATATCAGTGTAGCGAATCAGCTCATGGGGAAATATGAATAATTAACCATAACTAAGTCTTAATTTAAGCAGACATTTGTCCAAAGCATCTAACAAATGAGGAAAATCATAAGAATTGACAAAAAATGTTTTTTTTTTTAAAGCTGTATAGATTCTCTATTTTAATGAGAATGATCATGAACAAAGACAATGGGAATCATGAACTAAGCTCATAAGACATCCTTTACGCAATACAATAATGGAAATGTGGAGGACAAAATGTAAACACACCTTAAAAATAATCTTAAATTAATGCACTAATCCAAGATATAACTTCCCGTTTCTTTGTTTTTGCAGAGATCTATGATCAGAAGGTTTATGACTGATTGATCAAACGCATTTTTAGAGCTCCATCTGAACTCACCTTCTGTTTGGCGGCGTGTTCGGCCACCATGTCGCTGAAGTCCTCTTTCTCCACCTGCTGCTCTCTGACGTGCTCCTCGTACTTCTGCGTCATGGCCATGGGGTCGAGCTCCAGCTCCTCCGGCGCCAGAGCCACCTCCACCCCCTGAGAGTCTCCACCCAGCACCGAGACTCCGCCCACCTTCCGGCTCATCACCGTCTGCATGCACCACACGAGAGGACCACGCAATCAGAGGGGAAGCAGCAAGCAAACATGACACACACACACACAAACATCTGTCCAAACTCTCAATGGGTTCTCATGCAACGACTAAACAAGCACATCTGCAGTGATAAAAACGGTGTAGAGTTGACGTTTCCACCGCCCAGCTGGTGCTCGTTTATCTCTCGCTGTCATTTTAAATGCAAACGAGTGCCATATGGATGGAGTGATTTGCATGTGATGGCTGGGAGAGATCTGATGGAGATGTGAAGTCAGCGCTCCTGCAGAGATATAGACACTGAAATCAACCAGACAGAGAGAACTCTGGGATACGAGGCGGATTCTGTCTGGCTGCGAGGTGACATGATTACTATAAAACACACAAACCAATATGCAACTGTTTATTAATGTGTCTGGTTTTGTTTTTGAAAATTATAAATGGGAAGACGATGCATAGCAGGACTGGATAAGGAAAGATTTCATGATTCGATTAAAGTTAAAATTTGATATCGATTCGTTTAGATGTATATCAGTTACGTGTGTAAACAATACAAGGAGAAAATGTCAGGTGGTACATTACCACAATATTAAGGGTTACAATTAACTCCAAATTCATTTGCCATCTATTATTTTTTTTAGCTATAATCCACCCTCAGATATAATTTATATAATTTATAAATTTATATAATATATAATTACGTTTCTACTCATTCCTTATTTAAATATAAACATTTAAATGTTGGCTGTCATAAAAATTTGTTTTCATGTACTCAAATTAGGGGTGTGACAGCACACGTATTCGTACAGAAAGTTTTCAGTACGGGTCTTTCGGTTCGGTGCGCATGTGTACCAAACAAATCGTTCCATTTTTTTCAGGAAATTCAGACAATAAATGCCGTTTTAACACTCTTTGTATATTGCCGTATAACACATCAGTTCTAACGGCAGCACGGAGCGCGAGTGAGCGTGATCACCCCTTCCTCTTTATTACTAGTTATAATACAAAACATACATGAATGAACATCATGTAATCACTCAATTAGTGTTTCAATTGCAGAAAGAAGCTTGTAAATAAAATGTCACGTAGCATTTCATTTACCTCAGGCAAGTCATTAGTGTGCACAGCTCGTTATTTGCTAGAGAAAAGTCTAGTGAAGAGCACTTGCCGAAATATTAGACAATACTTTATTATATTTACTTTAACTCTTAGTGATGTCTTCATTATTTAATGTACGTTTAAATAAATATTTTATTAAACAAGTTATGACACTGTAAACTATTATACTTCAACAACAAATAGAAATTGTATAATTTAGAAGTTAATTGAAAATTTTTTTTTTTTTTTTTGCATACAATTTTCTCATTTGAGTGTTGATTATTATAGTTAAAAATAAACAGTAATTGAATTTAAGTTTGGGCTCTGTTGTTAATTGTAACCTTATAGTAATGTAAAAGGGCTCCCTATAGTTTAGAGCAGAAGCTGAGGTAGATTTTTATCCCTAAGAAAATTGTAATTATAATTGAATTTATTTAAAGAAAGAGCAATTTGTTCAGTAAACCATTGTTAAATAAAAAAAAAATCCTCCTGCAGTACCAAAACCATACCGAACAGTGACGTCAAAACCGAGGTACGTACCGAACCGTCATGTTTGTGTACCGTTACACCCCTAATTCAATTATACATGAAATAATGAAGACTCGCTAACAGGTTAAGTGAAAATATAATGAATATGCAATATAGCCTCCTCTAGAGTTATGTTTTTATAATCAACTAATGAGTTTACAGACATTGATTGGCTTTTCTGAGGAAAACAATATTAAGCAACATTGTTTAGAAGCTGCTTTATTAATGTCTTTATGCGATTAAAACACTGAGCAATTACGTTTTGTGAAGTTGTTTCGTTTCAACTCCTTCTGATGTTCACTCGTTTATTTCATGCAATAACTAGTAGTAAAGATGAAGAGATAATCGGTTCACATGCCACTTGAACTGACATGCTATAGCGATGCCACATTAAAGACTGTCAAAACCCAGTGTATTGTTTGTATTTTGTGGTATAATTGATATAATTTAAAAGCTGAAACTTTGTTTTAAATCAAAAGTAACAAAGCTTACTGTGATTATTGGACGACAGGTGCTAAAAGTGGATAAAATGGGATTTGAAACTGGATGGGAACTGATATTGGTTGCATAAGTGCATTGTTTTAAATCAGCTAAGTTTTATTTAAATGCATATGGATGTTAAAATGAAAGCGTGCGTTTAGGTCCTGTCCCAAGAATTTATAACCCTATCTATGAAATCTCAAGTGAAGTCTCAAAATCTAATTATGAGATAAGCATCACATTTTGATTTCAACCATTAATTTCGCTATGATTTCAATATTTGACATGGCCCTACTCAGTCAATATTAAAGATATAAAGGTTATATTTTCACAGAATGTTCTACGCGTTTATGAAGGATGATTTTATGTAGAAAACAGTCAATCACAAAAAAATGACTTTAGCTGGGTTTTCACAGGCAGGGTCACATTTATCAAACCAAAACTGATCTGAGAAACTGAACAGCCCTATGCGACACGCATCCATCTCTCGCGCACAGCCGTACCGTAGACATGTCGTAGATGTGTGTGGACGCCATCATAGCGGCCCCGACCGGCCCCGTCCTCCTCTCCGGCAGCACCGTGAACAGCTGAGGCGTCTCGTTTCTGAAAACACACACAAACACGAGTTACACAAGCAGCCATTTATCAGACGCTTTCATCTTAAGTGCTTGAGGAAACGATGCTGATAGCTCACCAAACAGCAATTGCAGAGCTCAAACCTACAACATGATGGTTAACAGCCCACATTTCTAAGTACTACAACACACATTAGGCACAAATGTAGCTGGTTCTCATATCACAGCAAGTTTAAAAGTGTGGCTTCTGCAACACTAGAGGAATAATCAAGCCAGCATTGCCATATGGGGCCTGTCAGAGCTCTCACAAAGAGAATAAACACAATGAGTCACAATGTACTGTTGGATTAATTAACCCTGCAAAGCCTACTCTATCATACTTGATACATGAATTAAGGTCTCTAAACGATCAAAAGTTTGCTGGAAAACCTGTTGCACAATCTGCTACATGCCTTCTGTGATCTGATTGACAGTTTAGACTTTTTTCTAAAAAGGTAAAATCTTCGGCTCATCCTTCACGATGTCAAATCTTTACCGATTTTCATAAAGTTAATGCAAGAATAACTATATTGTTAGTAATATTTCGAATTGAATTAACTTAGGTTTACTTGATTATCCATCTTTTTTTCTTTAGTGAATATCAAATATGATCTTCAGGCTTTTGAGGAACATATATTTGCTCATCTCTCGATCATCATTGTATTGCATTGCATAATGTGTTTTGAAACCACAGCTTTGTTTATAAAACTAAGCATTAATATCACCTTACTAAGACATATCATTGAAGATATAGAGTCAGTGACAACTGATATTTATATGTTTTTGTCAGTAGTCTGTGTTATACTGCTATAAATATATAGATTTATATTACAAGATATCAGACTTTCATATAACTTTTTGGCCATTTAAATACCAGCATCTGCACCAAATTGCATATTTTTTGCTTAGCTTGATTCTTTGAAAAAATTAATTTATCTATATATATATCACAGCTTTGTTTATAAAACTAAGCATTAATATCACCTTACTAAGACATATCATTGAAGATATAGAGTCAGTGACAACTGATATTTATATGTTTTTGTCAGTAGTCTGTGTTATACTGCTATAAATATATAGATTTATATTACAAGATATCAGACTTTCATATAACTTTTTGGCCATTTAAATACCAGCATCTGCACCAAATTGCATATTTTTTGCTTAGCTTGATTCTTTGAAAAAATTAATTAATATATATATATATATATATATATGTATATGTATATACACACACATGTATATATACACACATATACACACACACGGTTTTTGCAGACATGAACAAGTTAAATTTAAGACTTTAAGACCTTTTTAATGATATTTGAGCGGTAATGAGACTTTTTAAGGACCCGCGGACACCCTGTATATATACAGCTCCATATTCTCTATATATCACTGTATGAGCCATAAAGGCCTGATGTATCACATGATACATATAAAAAAATATTGCATGCAAACTTTCACATTTTGACAAATTAATTTCATATGAGCAGATGACTTTAAGTGAATAGGGCCTTAAATTTGGCTCTGCTCCTCACATAAACTCGTATTTGCGCAGACACTCACCCGTCCATGGCCTCTTCGATCTTCTTCTTCCTGAGCTCGATGAGCTCTGGAGTCTCCATGCCGGCAGGAACAGAGGAGAAGCCGCCCGGAGTGATCATCCCGCTGTCATAATGAGAGAGAACAGACATCTGTGAGCCCTCATGTCTCAAACACACACAAGCCAATCAGAGACGGACACAGTCTGAGACCCTGAGACGAGCAGCACCTGTCTGCAGGTGTGAAGAAGCCCGTTTCATCAGGTTTCTCCTCATCACTCTCCTCCTCCTCCTCCTCTTCCTCAGACGACTCTTCATCAGACGCCTCCAGCTCGCCCCACGTGGTTCGATCGACTTCCTCCTCCTCTGCTTTGGCCTGTCAACATTATCAGGCAAACCAAACAACAGACTCAAACACCACAGGAAGGAGAAGTGTGTGAAGACATTTTTGCAGTCCTACAATTAGATCTCCTCCCAATGAATGATTAAAATTGCACTCTATTTTTCTCCCCAGGAATAAGGCACATATTCAGGATGTGATTTCGTAGTATGCTCACATGGAAGTCTATGGCGTTGGTGCCGAACACGTCTCCGTACAGCGGTCTTCCCGTCTCGTCCACAGGAGGCTTACCCCAACCGCCCGCATGATACCCAAACGAACAGCCCTGAAAGAGAGAGACACACCTAATTAGGAAGATATCACTGCTTTATATGACCACAACACTAATGAGCTTTACACTGCAGAACAGTTTTACTGAATCGTGTCTTGTTTAAGTCAGATCCTCTAATGGAGACTGATGTGCTTTTGTTAGATCATTAGATTGGTGTTACACGTTACTTTATTACCGGATTACAGACGAAAGTCTGTTCCTTTAAAAAGTTCTGCACATCACTGCTGGAAGTATTAATTGTGAAAAATTCTAATTGCATATTGCAGGCAAACCACATGGTTTGTCATTTTGACTAATGATCATTTTATTGAGATCACACTCACAAAGAGCCATTTCTAGCTAAAGAAATGCACAAATAAACATATATAAAATATACAATATTAATGTAAAAAAATTTTAATACATATATTTACTTTCTAAAAATTGCTAAAGTACATGTATATATATATATAAAGAATTTTAATATATACACTCTATAATCACAATTTCAGAATCTAAAACCAAGCAAATCATAAACATACACATAATCACACACACATACAGTACGCCTACATATTTTAGATATATTATTACCATGTAATAAAATGTACTATGGAGCAAAAAATGCATCAATTTAAGAAACATCTCTCCGATTTAAACTATTCTGCTGCAACCATGAAAGTCAGTGGAGGCTTGTTACCAATGCAACATAACGCAAATGCTAAATGAAAATGTTTTCAGTATAAACAGTTGGCAAATATTGCAGACGATTATGCTTAATAAATTGAGAAGCAGAAATTGTGATCATAAATAAAATGATTCATCATACACACATGCAATCTATGTACTGTATAAAAAATAAAAAATTTACAAAAACGTAAATTAAAATGTGGCTCAGCCAATCAGAATCGAGGACCGGAACTCTCCGTTTTATATTGTTGAATATAAAAGAAGATAAGTCGTACACACTGTTGTTTTATGACCTTGCTCAGGAACAGAATGTGGCAAGAGTAACATAACTGTATGAATATGTATCAGAAATGCATATGCAATTATATTAAGCCCTAAATATACATATTATATTTTTAAAAAGTTTTGAAAGACGTCTCTTCTGCTCACCAAAGCTGCATTTATTTAATCAAAAATACAGCAAAAGTATTGTAAATAATACAATTTTTTTTTTCTATCTGAACATTCTAAAATGTAATTTATTTCTGTGATGCAAATCTGTATTTTCAGCATCATTACTCCAGTCTTCAGTGTCACATGATCTTCAGAAATCAGCCTAATATGCTGATTTCCTGCTCGAGACGCATTTCTGATTATCATCAATGTTGAAAACAGTTGTGCTGCTTCATATTTGTGTTAGTTTATGTATATGAACCCAGATTGTACCTTCTCCTGCAGGGCTTCTCTCATCTCCTGGATGCCGGTTCTCTTGATGAACTCGGGCAGCTCAAACGGAGGTTTCTCTATGCCTCTCTTGCCCTGCAGGTACTTCCTCTTGAAGCACCAGTGACGGGGCACGGGCACCGTGTTCCTGGTGGCCTTCAGGTGCACCAGCAGCTTGGGCTCCTGCGCAGTCACGTCGTGCATCTCCACCACGTCAGGACGCGCCACGAGCTGACAGACAGAGCAGCACACACATTATGAAGCGTGATCATTCAACTTTACCTGACGTTAGTTCTGAAAATACCAATTGCTTACACTCTGAAATGACTTGAACATGTTATCTGAATGCGAAGTAATTTTTTTTAATGCAATTATGATTAAGACGGCTCAGTTATGCATTTCATATTAAAGGATTAGATCACCCAAATTTTGCTGATGATGTACTTAAGCGTTTGTTTCTTCATCAGATTTGGAGAAATGTAGAATTGCATCACTTGCTCAGCAATGGATGCTCTGCAGTGAATGGGTGCCGTCAGAATGAGAGTCCAAACAGCTGATAAAAACATCTCAATAATCCACAAGTAATCCACACCACTCCAGTTCACCAGTTAATGTCTTGTGAAGTAAAAAAGCTGAGTGTTTGTAAGAAACAAATCCAACATTAAGACATCGGAACTTTAAACTGTAACTTCTGACCAAAATATCCATAACATAAGTCCATAATGCATTATAATGCCATTTTCCTCTCACATCAAACACAACCCACGTATTTGTTTAGAGCTGTTTTGTCTTGTAAATGGTGTTTGATCTGTGCAGCAGACCAAGTCCCACGGTTCGACAAGCATGTGAGTGAAATAATAGTGAAAGTTTATCATTTGTACGCACGCAAACGATTTTAAACGGTTTCAGTGAAAGACAATGTAACTCGATTCGTTACTCGCGTGCTGTTTTCTATGTTCACAGACACACACATGAAGCGTGTTTCAAGCGGTGCGCAAACACCATACTGACTCCCCTCTTGAACAGACATATATAAATACAATTATGACAAAATAGCCATCTCGACAATCATTCTGGTAACCAGTCGGTTATGTCATAAGTGGAAGAGCACAGCGGAGAAATAAATCGGATATGTATCATTATATTGGATCCGTGCATCAGGTCTTAAAGGGGCAGTAGCCTATAAATACCTGCTGCTGTCATTAATGCTACTCAAACAACAAAATGTTTTTGACAGAGATGAATCAATCTATATTTAATGTATACAGTGAGCACTATGCAGTGTTATTTTACACTTAATTATTACATTTCTGTACCTGAATATCACCAACCTTACTTTATTTGTAACATTGTTCAGTTGTATTTATCTATGTTTGTAATTTGTGTTCGTGTTCTTATTTTTACTGGCTGCTGACTTGTCTCTTTAATCATGTTCCTGTGGCTCAGTGGTAGAGCTTTGCGTTAGCAGCACAAAAGGTCATGGGTTCGATTCCCAGGGAACACACATACTGGTAAAAAAAAAAATATTTAGCCTGAATGCTGTGTAAGTCGCTTTGGATAAAAGCGTCTGCTAAATGCATACATTATTATTAATTAATTAATTATTATTATTATGTTCGATCTTTCTTAGGCTAGGAGTTTTTGCTGTGGTATCGAAGAAGTACTTAGCTTTGAGTAATGGAAAGCAAAGTTACATTGAATTTTTTTTTTTTCCTTGCCGATCAGAAAAACGATCCGAGGCTCAAAAACCATAATATGAGCTGAACCGTGAGATTTGTGATCCATCCTGATTCAGACGAGATGACTTCACTGGATGAAGCTTTATTATTGCTCAACAGAAGCAACAGATTCAATTGAAAAATGTCTTGATGGATTTGTTTCTTACAAAAATGCAGCTTCTCACTTCACAAGAGTGGTGTGGATTATTGTGATGTTTTTATCAGCTGTTTGGACTCTCATTCTGACGGCACCCATTCACTGCAGAACATCCATTGCTGAGCAAGTCATGCAATGCTAAATGTCTCCAAATCTGTTCCCATGAAGAAAAACTCTATCTTGAATAGCGACCATTCCTTTAATCACATTTACAGTTAAAAGATATTCAATTAATCAGTTAATATACATTTTAATCTAAAGGTATTGAACTCGGAGGTGGTTTTAGGAGTCATTTTGATCAAATGAAGAGAAAAACAGAAATGGCACATTTGTTACCTGCTTGAGCTCTGCCACCGTCAGCCTGTTCATCCTCCTCAGTTTCTTTTTGGACAACTTCGGCATGTCTTTTCTGGCTTCCTGTCAAACAGGAAGTGGACGGCGTTAGACAGGAATATCATCAGGAATCTACAAGATCTAGAAGGGGCCTTCAACTCACCTCGTCACTGTCATCGCTGTCTTTCTTCTCCAGCTCGAACCCCTTCTTCTTAAATGAAAGGATTTCTGGCTTTTCAGGCTTCTCTGGCTCCTTTTCCTTCTCCTTTTTCACATCATCCGTCAGCTGTGATAGAAAGCCATTGAGTGGCACATCCAGCAAAATATGAGTTATTTTCAGTCTTTAAAATATCAGTCTAGGTGAATGAAGCAGGATGGATGTCAAACTGTGATGGAGGAGTATGAATTATGCATCAAACTCCAAACAAGCTTCTTATACATTCTCATATCATATAAGTTTTGCAGTTTAGTTTCAGCAAACATTCTTTTTGGAGCTTAGGAAATGTTGCGCTCTGAAAGTTACAGCACTCATCTCAAAACATCAATAAATGTAGCATTGTCTGACCTTAAACGTCTCAAAGATCCTCTTGAAGATGATGTAGTTTGGGTCGTAGACCGCAGGCTCCTCCGTCACGTACTCAATCTCCACCTCGGGCTCCTTCTCACGGCTCTCCTCTTTCTTTTTCTCCTCCTCCTGCTGCTGCCTCTTCTTCTTGTTCTTCTTTTTCCTGTTCCTGCGCTTGCGATTTTTCTATAAGTAAACAAGGAGAAATTCAGAGAGAGTTTGCAGAACGGCAAGTTAGATCAATGAGAGCCTTGCAAATGCTGCTAAAAAACATGAGGACACCTACATCTTTTTTAGAAAGACCACTTTCATCGTCCTCATCCGAGTATCCACGGGCGGAGGAATTATTCATATCCATCTCTTCCTCATCACCTTCCTCTGTGGATAAAACCAGCAACAGAGATGATTACTTCTGCATTGTTTGAATGCAAGCACTCTTTCTCTAACAAAAGACAATTCATGTTTTAAACCAGCTAAATTACAAACCTTTTCTAGAAAGCTCAGATTTGTTAGGCAAATTTTAAATAAATAGTGCAAGAGTTCATATAATGAATTACAAGCTAAACTACAAAAAAAAAAAAAATACAGCACTAATTTTCACTATGATTTTATTCATTCTCACACCCTCAGCTTATAAACTGGAGTCTCAAAAGTAAACTCAGTGTTCCTCCCACTGATAATTAGACTCGATGTGCTGAAGTGCTCTCATCTCATAAATATGATCATTAGCAACATTAAGGTGGCATTTAAGCATGAAATAAACCCTGTGGATTGGCAGTCATAGTGTTGCTGCTCATAGTGACCTGTAGGGGCGATGCTGAGCTGCTCCTGCCTCATTTCCTTCAGCTGCAGGATCTTCTCCAGAGCCTGAGGAATCTTCGGCCCGATGCCGACATCTTCACCTGGCCACGACTGAACAAACCAAACAAGTCAAGATTAGGGAAGAGATTGGGTTTGTGTGTCAAACCGATCATGCATTGAGGCTTTCAGGATCTCGCACCTCTCTGGCATCTTCTCCCGGAGGGGGCGGGACTTTCTGCCGTTGATTGGCAGATTGTAGCAACAGAGAAACACCTGGAGGGGTGGGGCCACCCTGAGTCCCAACTACAGGAGGACAGAAATCATGTCTAAAGTAAAAATCACCCTTATCAGTAACAGATTTGAAGGCTGCAGTCATCTCAATCTAGTCTGGTTGGCAAAAGGCAAGACAGATAAGGTGAATTAGGTAAAAAAAAATAATACTAATAATTAAACATACTCCCTATGTTAATGGAATACATTGCAACCTTTTTTTGGTGTTACAAGTTTTCTGAAATGTTATGTTTAAATACACAAATGAGGCATTATGTAAGTAAATATGCACTTGCATACATTTCCAGAAAATAAATCTGAGCATTCATTTTGAGAAAACAACCTTTAAAAACATGTGCTATGACTAAAATCTACAGGCACAGTGTACTAAAATAAACACTTGAATGTGTATTTTGAACGTTTTCTTTCCACTAGTCCGAAATAACATGTTATGAAAAGCCAAATATTTCTTAAATCTTAAAATAAACCAGTGCAAGAAAAAAATGTGTTTGCCTGTAGTGTCTTGCCTATTATATATTCTTAGTAAAATAAAAACAAAAGGCATCGAATCAGCATGATATCATAAAATCGATGTCGATGCATAAATTCAGAGCTGTTAAAGAAAGCATGCTGGCGAATGGGCATTTTGCCATATTTCTGCAGTATGAAGGCTGAGGGGCGCTGACCTCTGAGAGGCGGGATGGGGGGCAGGAGGTTGGGTCGTGGTCCCAGTTCAGGTCCTCTGGTGCCTGGTGGCGCCCCCTGCTGAATTTTAGCAAGTTCCTGCTGCCTCTCATGTTCCAGAAGCACAGCAGCAGCCTGAGAGAGAGACAAACAGTCACTTGTTTTTGTACAAACTTAACACATGCACAATCTACGTCACGAATACACATCAAAACATTTAGACCATTTAGCCATTTAAAAGTTTGGGTCTGTACGTTTTTTTTTTTGTCTTTTATGCTCAACATTTATTTGACATAAAATACAGTAAAAACAGCAATATTGCGAACTATTACAATTCAGAATAACTATTTTCCCACGTGAATGTATTTTAAAATGCAATTTATTCCTGTGATGTAAAACTGAATTTTTTAGTGTCACGTGATCCTTCAGAAATCATTCTAATATGCTGATTTGAAACATTAATTATTATCAATGTTGAAAACAGTTGTGCTATTCAATAGTTTTGTGAAAAGTGTGATACATTTTTATTTTGATTCTTTGAATAATGAATAGAAAGCTCAAACACATTGTAATAATATTGTAACTAGAGGTCGACCGATGTATCGGTTTTGCCGATTAATCGGCACCGATAGTTGATTGCTGGAACTATCGGTTATTGACAAAAATCCATGCCGATAGTTTTCCGGGTTGCGTCCATTGTTGGAACGGCTGAGATGGGTCTGCTGTCATTACACAATGCGAGAGCAGCCTCTAGTGGTTGAAATCACTGACCGCACGTGCTATTTGTTTAGACACGTGATACTGCACGCTGAACAGAGCGGGAAACTTCAGACACGGATTTAAATGCAGCCGACAGAAAATCCTGCCGCGCCACAGAACGCCATTCACATAGTTTTCCTTTAAATTACATTATATTGGTCCCGAATCGTTGTTAATGTACATAATGAATTGTGCATTTTCAGCAAAACGTTTGTCTTTCTGTGGCTCTAATAAAGTTTTTTAAACACCAAACTTCAAACTCATCCATGTCAAATTGTTCATTTTTGAAGTAAACTTGTGTCTGTTTGGTGATTAAATAAACAGTTTTAGACCGCTGCTCGAGTTGAACGCGACGCGTCCGGAGTGTGTGTGATACCGGTGAGTTCTCCTAGACTCAGCGCTGCACTTTTATTTTGATTAGATAATCAAGTGTTCAAGAATAGAAGCAGTTCAAGTCTGAGAGTATACATACAATATCCATATGTATATAATTTTAATGCTATAGCCTTTGTGTATATATTTAAAGATGTGCCTCTAAGCATGACAGTTGAAATGAAATGGTAACATAATTTCAACATTTACTATTATTATTTTTTTACTACTACTACTAGCATGGTTCAGTACTGTTTTTGTTAATAAAGCACTATTTAATTTTTGTTCAGTATCAATTTTAAAACTATCGGTTAATTAATCGGTATCGGCCAGTGTGGTCCAACCTAGCTATCGGTATCGGCAAAATCCACTATCGGTCGACCTCTAATTGTAACTGTCACTTTTGATGAATTTAATGTGTCTTTGCTGAATAAAACTACTAATTTCTTAAAAATAATCATACTGACCCTAAAAGTTTGAACAGTAGTGCATAAATCATTCACAATCAAACAGCTGAAACTGCTTGAGCGATATGGCAGAAATCCTTCTGAGTTTAGCAGCACGGTTGAAAACAGCAATAAGAATAAGTATTTTCTCACCCGTTTCTGCTGCTCTAGGAGTTCCTGCTCCTTCATCTGCTCATCCATCCCTCGCGAATCACCCTGAACACACACACATACAGCTGTAAACAACAGCCTGAGACACAAGTAAAACTTTCATTTCAATAAACTCCTAACTCTGGTTCACCATTTAACCCGTTTAGCATAGCATTTTAGTTCTAAATTTTAAAAAAAGCTTCTTATTTTGAAGTTAAACATGTGAGTGTTTGCGCTGATTGATAAGGAACGAGATGCACTCGTGCATATCTTTGATCGTAATGCTCAGAATGCATTGCAAAAATTAAAAGGACTGTTTGATGGAAGTCACCGAGCAACAGAAGTGGAACTTGACGGTAAAGTCATGCAACTGAGGTCTGCATGTGAGTGAGATGTAAGGTTTCACACTAGAGGTCTGCACAGGCTTTAAACTGAAGCCCGAACCCGACCCGTACCATGCATTTTAGTTCTAAATTTTAAAAAAAGCTTCTTATTTTGAAGTTAAACATGTGAGTGTTTGCGCTGATTGATAAGGAACGAGATGCAATCGTGCATATCTTTGGTCGGTAATGCTCAGAATGCATTGCAAAAATTAAAAGGACTATTTGATGGAAGTCACCGAGCAACAGAAGTGGAACTTGACGGTAAAGTCATGCAACTGAGGTCTGCATGTGAGTGAGATGTAAGGTTTCACACTAGAGGTCTGCACAGGCTTTAAACTGAAGCCTGAACCCGACCCGTACCAGAGATCGTCTGACCCAGCCCGACCTGAGCGGCACAGTTCAATTTAGAGACCGAACCCGACATCTTTTTTTTTTTTTTTTCCCACAACGAATAGCCAATTTTTTTTTTTTAAATGCTATATTTCACAATTGCATGCAACGGTCAGTAAACAAATACATGTAAAGAAACAGAATCATTAAGGCTCGGCCAGTTCACAAGGCAAAAGAAAAAGCACTTACCAGTTATGAAAGTTTATGAACATCAGGTGCCTCGGTCACATAAATTCTGCCGAGTTTTTGAATGGTTGTATACGACAAGACGATAATTCTTCCATCATGCAAATTATGGTCATTTTCGTCAGTTAAGGCTCGTTAGCATTCGGTCTGCTTTAAATCAGACACAGAGATGCAGTGCGGTAAGATCGCATTTATTTGAATTAATATCATTTATTTGAATTAGCGAGAGAGAGAAAGAAAGAGCGAGTTGCGTGTGTGAACCTGCATCTGCGCGCCTCTCTCTACAAGCAATGAGGCTTAGTTCCCTCAAAAACAGCGATTTTACCCCCTCATTGCAGAGAAATATAAAGTTGCGAGTCAGTAGCCTGTCGAAGCTATTTTACTAATAAAAGTTTCCGTGCGGTGTTGTTGTGTGCTATAATGTGTGTGCGTGCGTCTATGAAAGCAGTGTAGCCTACTGCATATAGTTTTAGCTAAGCTATAAACCCGAGCCCGACCCGAAGCTATTCATTAAACATTAACCCGAACCGAAACCCGAAAGTATTTCGGGTAGCAGCTTTAAATCAGACACAGAGATGCAGTGCGGTAAGATCGCATTTATTTGAATTAGCGAGAGAGAGAAAGAAAGAGAGAGAGTTGCGTGTGTGAACCTGCATCTGTGAAAAGTTTCCGTGCTGTGTTGTCGTGTGCTATAATGTGTGTGCGTGCGTCTATGAAAGCAGCGTAGCCTACTGCACATAGTTTTAGTTTAGCTATAAACCCGAGCCCGACCCGAAGCTATTCATTAAACATTAACCCGAACCCGACCCGAAACCCGAAAGTATTTAGGGACCCGTCGGGCTCGGGTCGGGTAGCAGACCTCTAGTAGCCTATTGGTATCAGTGATACTGGCCTTCAGTCATAAAAAACATGCCATTAAACTATTATTAAAAATGTACTGTCTTTAGGTTGTTTGTACATTAATTTGAAGATTGAATGTAAAATTATTGCAATATAAAAGTATATTTAAAAACATTAATTTTAGGTGGGATTAATCGCAATTAATTTCAGAAAAAAATGTGTGATTAATTTGTATTATATATACATATACACATACATATACATATATATTCACATTAAGATCATTCACTCTGAAATACACCACATTAAGCAACATAGGTTGTGAACAACAATACATGCTTAATTTATAATGTTTTTCTCATTATAGCCATGAGAAATGAGCAAAAGAGGGTTAAATGTGATGAAAATGGTCATAATGCAAAACAAAGCTTCATTATCTTCGTGTGATTTTAAGATAATAAAAAAAAACAGTCAGACATGTTCTGGAAAGATTCACCTCGTGAGATTCAGACCATTATCACGTTTTACTATAAAAGCAAAATAAAGCTCGCTCATTAACCCCCGAAAAACTAAAAGCAAGAACTCAAAGCAGCTCCACGTATACATCCACACCAAATCACCAGAGCGAAACGGAGCGTGCGGAAAGCGCCGATGGCTTTTCAACTTTAAAAAGGCGAAAAGAAAAGAGCCTTATCACCATAACAAGGCCTTATCAGACAACAAACCTCTCTTCCCGTGACTTTCATCTTGCGCACTTGTTCCACTGATCTTATGAATAAATCATAAAGGCCGTCCCCCCTTCGGCTCGCAGCAGTGCATGCCCTGTAAAACACAGAGAAGTGTTTATGGGAGATAAGAGCCACAGAGGTTGCATTCCCAATAACGCCTTTTATCACTCCTTGTCCTCCCCGAGCATCGACTTTTATGACGCACACCCACGACAGCAGAATGGATAATTAGGGGAGTTTGTGGAGTCGACACCATCCCGGCCGTGATAGAGGAGCCAAAAAGTTTCCGTGCGGTGTTGTTGTGTGCTATAATGTGTGTGCGTGCGTCTATGAAAGCAGTGTAGCCTACTGCATATAGTTTTAGCTAAGCTATAAACCCGAGCCCGACCCGAAGCTATTCATTAAACATTAACCCGAACCGAAACCCAAAAGTATTTCGGGACCCGTTGGGCTCGGCTCGGGTAGCAGACCTCTATTTCACACACAGAGCTGTGTCTCTCCCTCACCTGCGCTGCTCTGTCGTCGTGCTGCATCATGCCCATGTGGATGGGTGGAGGGCCGCCCATCATGTTCATGGCCTGCATCATGTTCATGCCCGGCGGCAGGGGCATAGAGGGCATCGGGGGCATGGGCGGCAGACCTGGCATCTGAGAGACACACACACAACAACACGGAGATACTTGCCTTTGCGAACACAACTAATTGAAACACAAAGACAGAGAGGGAATAAACTAAACATGGCAGTACCGTAGTAGTCATGACCTTGTCATCTCCTCCTTGCATGTTCGGCTTAGTTAAGATCATCCCAGACTGCAGAAGAGATTAACGTTAAACTCAGAGAAAGAAATGCATCTTATGAGCAGACCTGCACTTAAAAAGCCTGCATGTGTTACCTGTGCGTAAGATTTCAGTCGGTCTATGAGCTCCTCTCTGGGACCTGAAGAACACAAAACACAAAGAGATGGAGCACAAAAGCAGTGTTAAGTCGCTGGGGGATATTTGTAGCAATAGCCAACAATACATTGCATGGGTCACAATTATAGATTTTTCCTTTTATGCCAAAAATCATTAGGATATCAAGTAAAGATCATGTTCCATGAAGAGATTTTGTAAATGCCCTACTGTAAATATATCAAAACTTCATTTGTGATTAGTAATATGCATTGCTGGACTGAATTGAACATGGTTTTAATGGAGTATGACTGTATTTAAATCAGTTTTCAGTGTTATTATATCACACAAACATTCACACTGCGCTTCACGAGCGACTTCATTAACGCTTAGTTTATGCCCTTCACAGTCGTGCGTGTCTTAATCACCCGAATACATGTAAATACAGCTTCCCAGAAGACGTATTCACACGTGCGACACACTTTAGCGCGAGGCTTTGCGCAGTAAAGGCCTGAGCAGCAGACAGGGACACAACAGGCTAACCGGCTAACGCGAGCGATAAGGCTAGCCAAACTCCGCCACAGAGCTCGTATTCAAACGTTTTCATCTCACCCATGTTAGGTGCTCCAAACTCGGCCAGCTTGGCCTGCAGCTCGCCGTGAGTCCATGTGTTAATGGCTGTATTTGAATCAGCGCCCGGCGGCCCGTCGCTAGCCATGATGAAGCTCTACGGAACAAACGCGCTCAGGCGCAAGGGATCACGGGAACGCCGCGCACTGCCTCATGGGGCTTGTTGTTCATTACGTCGCGCAGTGTGCAAATATGGAGTATGTTATCAAATGTTGGCACACAGGACAGATAACTCGTTAAAAATAATATTAAATCTGTTTAACCAAACTTGGGATACTGGACATCTTCCTTCAGTGTGGAAACAAGCAATAATAGTACACGTTCTTAATCAGATCCTTCTAGTTACAGACCAATTGCCTTCCCTGTTGAAAAAACCAGCATATGCTGGTTAGGTATGTTTTGACGCATCTGTGAAAAGTTTCCGTGCTGTGTTGTCGTGTGCTATAATGTGTGTGCGTGCGTCTATGAAAGCAGCGTAGCCTACTGCACATAGTTTTAGTTTAGCTATAAACCCGAGCCCGACCCGAAGCTATTCATTAAACATTAACCCGAACCGAAACCCAAAAGTATTTCGGGACCCGTTGGGCTCGGCTCGGGGAGCAGACCTCTATTTCACACACAGAGCTGTGTCTCTCCCTCACCTGCGCTGCTCTGTCGTCGTGCTGCATCATGCCCATGTGGATGGGTGGAGGGCCGCCCATCATGTTCATGGCCTGCATCATGTTCATGCCCGGCGGCAGGGGCATAGAGGGCATCGGGGGCATGGGCGGCAGACCTGGCATCTGAGAGACACACACACAACAACACGGAGATACTTGCCTTTGCGAACACAACTAATTGAAACACAAAGACAGAGAGGGAATAAACTAAACATGGCAGTACCGTAGTAGTCATGACCTTGTCATCTCCTCCTTGCATGTTCGGCTTAGTTAAGATCATCCCAGACTGCAGAAGAGATTAACGTTAAACTCAGAGAAAGAAATGCATCTTATGAGCAGACCTGCACTTAAAAAGCCTGCATGTGTTACCTGTGCGTAAGATTTCAGTCGGTCTATGAGCTCCTCTCTGGGACCTGAAGAACACAAAACACAAAGAGATGGAGCACAAAAGCAGTGTTAAGTCGCTGGGGGATATTTGTAGCAATAGCCAACAATACATTGCATGGGTCACAATTATAGATTTTTCCTTTTATGCCAAAAATCATTAGGATATCAAGTAAAGATCATGTTCCATGAAGAGATTTTGTAAATGCCCTACTGTAAATATATCAAAACTTCATTTGTGATTAGTAATATGCATTGCTGGACTGAATTGAACATGGTTTTAATGGAGTATGACTGTATTTAAATCAGTTTTCAGTGTTATTATATCACACAAACATTCACACTGCGCTTCACGAGCGACTTCATTAACGCTTAGCTTATGCCCTTCACAGTCGTGCGTGTCTTAATCACCCGAATACATGTAAATACAGCTTCCCAGAAGACGTATTCACACGTGCGACACACTTTAGCGCGAGGCTTTGCGCAGTAAAGGCCTGAGCAGCAGACAGGGACACAACAGGCTAACCGGCTAACGCGAGCGATAAGGCTAGCCAAACTCCGCCACAGAGCTCGTATTCAAACGTTTTCATCTCACCCATGTTAGGTGCTCCAAACTCGGCCAGCTTGGCCTGCAGCTCGCCGTGAGTCCATGTGTTAATGGCTGTATTTGAATCAGCGCCCGGCGGCCCGTCGCTAGCCATGATGAAGCTCTACGGAACAAACGCGCTCAGGCGCAAGGGATCACGGGAACGCCGCGCACTGCCTCATGGGGCTTGTTGTTCATTACGTCGCGCAGTGTGCAAATATGGAGTATGTTATCAAATGTTGGCACACAGGACAGATAACTCGTTAAAAATAATATTAAATCTGTTTAACCAAACTTGGGATACTGGACATCTTCCTTCAGTGTGGAAACAAGCAATAATAGTACACGTTCTTAATCAGATCCTTCTAGTTACAGACCAATTGCCTTCCCTGTTGAAAAAACCAGCATATGCTGGTTAGGTATGTTTTGACGGTTTCGTAGGGGTCGGAATACAATGGATTCTGTATTGTAGAGTCAGACACAAGGAAAGCACAGACCAACAAAGAAGTAGTAATAGCAGTCTTATTTGATGTGAAGAAGGCATACGTAGGAAGATCTTTGTATGCGGATGACGGGGCTTTGTGGATTAGAGGCCGCAATGTATCGTATGTCAATAAGAAAATGTAAGCTGCAATTGATGAAGTGGAAAAATGGACCCAATAAATGGGGATTTAAATTATCTGTAGGAAAGACACAGATTATTTGTTTTTCAAGGCGGCACAAAATCTCACCCCTTTCTTTGA